TCTCCACAAAGGAACCAGCCCTGCAGCCGCCTTGATTTTAGCTCGCTGAGACCCATTTTGGACTTCTGACCTCTAAACTACAAGGTGATAAATTGTGTTGTTTCAAGCTACTAAGTTTGTAGTAATTTGTTACAACAGCAGTAGAAGTTTTATACAAGCCCTGTAGTGTATAGTAAGGAAGTTCACTGAGTGAGGCAGGAAGCCATCGGAAGAATTGGGTGGAGGAGTGATTTGATTTGATCTAATGAGATCACTCTGCATGTTGTGTAGAGAATAGACTGTTGAAGGATTCCTTCCTTCGTCTGGCTTTTGGCTTGACTTTTCCATATTTACTGAGAGATCATAAGTTCACTTAAGTGAATGGATAAAAAAATTATGGTATATATACACAATGAAATTCTATGCAGCAGAATGAAAGAAGGAGCTCCTACCCTTTGCAACAGCATGGATGGAACTGGAAAGCATTATGCTGAGTGAAATAAGCCAGGTGTTGAAAGACAAATACCATATGATCTCACCTTTAACAGGAAGCTAAACAATGAAACAAACAAGCAAGCAAAATAAAAACAAAGACACTGAAATAGAGAACAGGGGGAAAGTGACCAGAGGGGAGAGGGGAGGGAATTTCAGGGGAAAAAGGGGAAGTATTTACAGGAACTAGTCTAGTATAAAGGACTAAGGGGGGTGGAAATGGGAGGGAGGTGGGGAGCACTGGGGGGGGGCTGGGATGGGTGTAAAAAACAGAAAACTGTACTTGAACAATAATTAAATAAATTTTTTAAAGATTTCAAAAATATGACTTCCCATGTTTTGTAAGTCAAGGTCTCTCTGATCTGTTTTGTTGCCGGAAATGAAAGTGTGAACTGTACTTTAAATTAAGCTTCTAAGGAAAACTCATTGGAAAAAAACTGAGTACCTCAATAGATGAAATCAAGTGACAGAGTTCCAAGCACATCAGATTAGAGAATACTGGTAAAGAGACTTTGAAGACTAAAAATTATCTTCCTTACAAGAAAGAGAATACAAAAACATTTTCAGGTGACATAAAAGGCTTCTTATACTATTGCCTTTTCAAGTCCCTCAAAACACCTTTAAAACTTGCCATTAGAATGAATTTAATAGCACTTCGTCACAATAGGCTCTGCTCAGAGAGTCACTTTGCCTGGAAATAAGTGTGCTCATAATGAAAATATTTCAAGGAAGACTGCTAACTTTTCCCCAAATGGGTGTAGATGTTGTGAAACTTTGCTTCGGCAATATTCGTGATGGTGACAGGGATTTAGCTAAGACAAGGGGCATGGAGGTGTTGTTTACTTTGCGTAAATCATAACAAGCAAGAGTTCCCAGAGGGGTGAGCAGAAATAGATACAAGAGTAAGCAGTCAATATGTCTAGGTTGTAAATTGACCCAAAATGTGAAAAGTATGTTTTAAAATATTAAATGACCCATTTACGTCTTCACACACAGAAAACACTTATTGGCTTAATTACTCTAGTGATTCCACTGTTCTCTTCCCCACTCCTTTATTGTTATTTTAGAGCCTTTATTGCCGCTCCACTAGGGGCGTGGGGAAACATTCCTCTCACGTGCACTCTGAAGGGACCACGCTCTGCTCTAGCCTGCAGAGGGTTCTGAGCAGCCAGGTCAACACATGGAACGAGTCACTGGCTCCAACAAGGATCAAAAAGTTCTTGTCTAACTGTAAAAAAGAGGTTCTTATAAAGCATTTTACAGACATTCTAAAAAAACTTAAATGCAATAAACCTTTAATTATATGTATTATGGAGATGGGTAGGTGGCATTAATACCTTAAAATAGCTAGTTAATAAATGGTATATGAAAATAGCATATTTAGCTTTGAAAAGCCTTGGAATTCCCTTCATTTTTCTTTCTCAGTAAATTTTCTCTTAAGCTAATAGTAAAAATTTTCCATTCTTGAATGCAGAGCAACTGATTGTGGAAAGACATGGTCTAGCATTCTGATGGCTGGAGAGAAGCTGGTCTAGGATTACATCTTGAATTTGAATAATCTACATTTAGATATTTAGAAGTTGACTGTATTCTCATGTCATCAGTATTTCTGAGCCAAGATTACCGTATTTTGCCATGTATAATGTGCATCTTTTTGCCCAAATTTTTGAGGGAAAAATAAGGATGCCCATTATACATGGGTAGTACCAGTTCTGTATCTATATAAATGTTTTTAATTCTTTACTTATGCTTATGTGTTAAGGGTGTAACTCTAGAAAGCAATAATGATATCTGTATGTAAAATAATGCCCTGGAATATGATAAGCAGTTTTTCCCTAAATATAAATTTAAAAATTGAATTAAAAAAATTAAAATGGGAGGTTTTTTTTTCTGAAGGTTTTGGCCCAAAATATGGGTGTGCATTATACACAGCAAAATACGGTATTACACTAGTGCAGAGTCTTTCACCCCAGGGTTCCTGGTCCTGGTCAGTCCCCTCTCCATTTCTTCCATGGTCAGATAGACAACTATAGCTCCCCTAAAGGTCTGTGCGTGGGAGGGGTCAAGAACACCTATAGGGTGAACGTGAGAAGACCTTGGTTCTGGCTCTTCCCATTGGTGTTTGCAATCCTGGAGGTAGCCCTTGATCTTTTGGAGACTCAGCAGTTTCCTATGTGACTCGTGGTCCTGGTGATAATACCTGTGTTTGTTTACCTACCCTCTGGGGTTACTGTGAAGATGGAATCAGATAATATATTTGAAAGTACTTAGAAACTTATAAAGTATTATACAAATAAAAGATGTCTGTTGCTTTAGCACTCAGAATACTTAAGAGATTTAAAGAAATCCTACTGTGGTCATAAGGCAGATTAGGGTAAAAGAGTTCAAGAAATTCATCATTACGAATAAAAAAGTACTCTGAAAACATGCCAGTGGTATTATCTCTGTGAATTAAAAAGCACATTTTTTTTTTGCTTTGTGTCCTGTGAGGGTGTTCTTCTGGAAGCCTCTGTGTGCAGCACTTGGAGTTTCCAGTCCTCCCGATCTGCTTCCTGCAAGTCCACCATCTACCATCTGCCTCGTGCTTCTGGGCAGCCAGATTGCCTTGGAAATCTGGTCGTCCCCACTCCCCCTTCAGAAGCCACACTTCTTTTTCTAATAAAGGGTCTGCTCCATCGAACTGTGAGCCCTCTGTGTTTTTAATAATTCCCCAGCTCTTGCAGAGCACGGCGGAAGTACCCCATGGTGACAAAGAGTCAGGAGAGCTTTCTTTTCCTTCTGATGCATCACAGTGCAGATTTACCCCATGTTCCATTAAAAGTTATTTAATATGGCCCTATAATCCAATGTTACCCCAATACATCTAATTTAAAAAGTTATTTAAGGGCAGGGATTGTGTATTACACTGTATGTTTAGCCACCTAGTGCCTTACATCCTGTAGACAGTAGATACAGATTTGCTGAACTGATGTGCTGAGAAGTATCAGGTAATTTGCTTTATCAGGACTTTTTGGCCTAGATTATTAGGTTATTTGTTTAATTATATAATAAATATTCTATATTTAAATCTGGGATTGCTATAAAGTGAAGTCCTGCTCCAAGTAACACCTGCCAATTGACAACTTCCTTGCTTTTTTCTTTACATTACTTATTCTTATGATCTGCTTGGGACCAGGTGAGAATGCAGGAATATGTGCCGGACAAGGTAAGGAATTGGATTGTATGGAGAAAAAAAAAATCTAGTCCTTGCCCTGGAGTTTAGATGAATGAGAATAAGTCCAGTGATGGAATTATAATTAAAATTTTAAACTGCTGTTATTATTATCAAAGGCAGTATACTATTATATTATTCTTTTCTTGCCATTAGAGATCTGGTAAGGGATTCTAGCAAACTGGTAGTAGAGAGCAAAGTTGAGGCATCTCTGATTCATAATCAAACTATACTTTTCAGGGTATTCTTGTTAAAGGTGACTGGAATTTCTGAATGTTTTCCTTTTTTTAAGTTGAAATTACAACAGCACTGTTATTTTCATTTCTACATATGTCTCCTAATCTCTGTCCAAATGTACAGATGTTTTACATATTTGCCTTTTTTCCTGTGCATACTATATTCATTCTTGAGTTGCCCTGGGAGGCTCAGAAGTTCTGAATGACCTCGAGAATCCGAATCTGTGCCACTGCGGAAATTGACCAGAATTGTCTGACATTCCCTGGGCAGGTACAGTCCTCAAATTTAGAAAACTAGGGTTAAGATCTGAAGCAGAAAATGACTGGAGGTTGTAAGATACCAACCGGTGACCTCAATGGAAAAGGAATGAAGATTAGGTTTTATAAGGGAAGATAACAGGCAGATGCGTAGGTAACAATTTCAGGCGCCAGCAAGGTTCCTCTTCCCACCCAACTAAAACAAATAAGAAACAAAAATGAAAACCTAATCAAAGTAACAACCAACCCAATAAAATCACCTCCTTACTATTAACAAGTACTTGAAATTAGTGTAAGGAAGCTGTAACATTTAAACAGGAAAAATTTAAATATATAAGTTGACAAATTTTACCAGAGGGTCAAGAGAAGATGGTAGTCTCTGATAGTATGGGGACTGTGAATGGTTATGGTACAGTCCCTACTCCCTTTTCAAGAAAGAACTTGTAGTCAGGAAAAAAAGAAGAAAAAAAAAAAAAAAAGCTATAGAATAGGACAGACTTTACTGATTCTTAATTTTGCCAGGATCAGGTTCTTTCAGATTATTTAGGTTACAGAGTAGAGGATTGAGAGAAAGTGAAATGTCCAATGGAAATCATCTTAGAACTGCAACAGAGAAGAATTTCGCTGGCTCGGAGGAAGGAGGTGGAAAAGTCCCTCCCAGAGCTCTCTGGGGATCAGAACTCAGCCCCCTGTCCCGAGAGCGGTTCGGGGCAGGCGAGGAAGACCAGGGCCTTTGGGTCCCCCACGCGCTCGCAGAGCAGTGCGGGGGAGTGGTCTGCACTGCAAACAGGTGGCAAGAGCCGTGCGCCGCATACAGGTGGCAGAAGCGGCGGGTGGGCCGCCAGGCGTCGCGCGGGAGCCGCGGTTGCCTGGGAGACGGAGTGGAGCCGGTGGGCGGCGCAGAGCCGAGCGGTGCGGAGCCGGGCCACTGCTGGAGTAGCTGGGCTGGAGTCGCGAGGGGGTGTGGCTCCCCGGACAGCGCGGGAGACCGGCGGGTACTGGGGCAGCGAAAGGTGGCCGTGGCGCTGTGGAGCGAGGGCAGCGAGCACAGCGAGTAGGTCGTGCGCCTGGTCGGAACTCAACCTCCTCCGCGCATCGTGGCGGCGCGGGAGCTGCACTGAGTAGTCTGCGCGTCCCACGGTCTCTGCCTCGCAGGGGTGACTTCGGTCGGGCGGCCAGTCAGGGAGAACTCGGCTTCCTCGGGAACCCGGCCTGCGGCCCCGCTACCGCGAAGAGGAGCCGGGTGGGCGGCGGGCGCGCGCCCTGCGGCACCGGCATGACTTTTCTGGGCTCTCCTCTGGCGCCCTTGCTGCTCCTCTCTCTGCACGGTGAGTAGCCCAAGCCCTCGGCTCCTGGTGGGGCCCGGCTGGGCCGGCGGGCCTGCCAGAAGCTGTTTTGGGATCGTTTGTGCCAGGTCTCGGAAACCCAACTTTCTAAGGGCCATCTCTAGTCGTGGTTGTTGGCCTAGCCTCACGCGCCCACCTGCCGCAGCTGCCCTGGCGCTGGCGCCCCTCTTCCCCGCCTCCGGCACAGCCCAGGTGTTCCCTAATCGGGGAGGTAACCACACCTGCTTCTCCGTTACCGCGATCCTGGACCTGACTCCGACCGCTCTACTCTTTTTTAGATAACGAACTCCCGTACTTACTGGGTCCAGTGAGAAACAGTATTTAGAATCAGTGTTTGTTACCAGGTGGCCCCAGGAAAACTAGAGAGAGATGCCTTTAAAATAATTTAGAAAACTTTAAATCGTGCTTTACATAACCGTTAACAAACACGTGCAGGTTTAACCGAAATTGTGATCTCTATTTTAAAAATAACTATACAATGTGCTACACTATATTTGAAAATGAGAATTTATTTTTTATACTCTAGTTTCTTCCCCAAAGGATTTAAACTGGCTTGCAAAAATACTAGAATATAACAATATTAGAAGAAAAGGAATAAACGTCTTTACTTTTCTTGTTAACAATTCCTGGAAATCTATTTAAATTTAATTTTATATTCTCTAATTAATATTTCCTACAGTTTATTTTGTACGAGTAGCCATCATATGAGAAGCAGAACTATTTTTTCATCTTACACTATGCCCTTTTCCTTTCTGAATGCACTGTCCTGCGGAATCAAGTCTTCTGTTCCATTTAATTGATCATTGAGATTTACTGAGATTTATTTTGAAGGGTTTTATTTTAAGAGCAAGTCCAAGATGGATGAAAAATTGTGGTTAACTCTTTATTATTTTTTTCCTGGAGATGTCAGTGTGTTTCCCATAGTTTTATGGTCTTATTTGAACTGATAATGCACCCATAGAGCTTGAAGTAACCCAATATTTACTCTCCGATTTAAGTTGCGCAAATTCATATAGTGGGAGAAAATGAACACAAAACTTTGTATACCTTTCCATAGAAGCCAGTGAAGGGAATAATCAAAATTACTGACAACTTTCCTGGAGTTCAATAGGTATATTTTTAGTAAGGATGTGCAGATAATGATCAGCGTGTGCATGCAAATTAATTTTGCCTCGTTACCACTCTGAGAGACCTGACGCTTTTCTCTGTCCTACTTCTTTCACATGTGAAATAATATTGAGTAAATGGTCTTATATGATCCCTTGGACACCACTGAAAGTATTTTAAATGTTACTATAAGAACAGCTGAATTGTTCGGCAAAAAAGATGTTAAACTTTGTATATTACAATCAATGCTGCACTCTTTTTTTGTAAGCAGTATTTGTGTATAGGTTTTTTTTGAATTATTAGGCAGTACTTTTAAAGAGTTGATGTAATTCGTAGAATCTAGCTTACAAGGTCATCTGCTTTGGTTTTTTTTTTCCTAAAGTAGAACTATTCCTAAGCCACCCTAGAATATTTTAGATTTCCAAGGACAGTTTAGCCTTTGTGATAATCTATTCTGTAAAGGAATTTTTCACCCTCAAAAATGAAAAAATATGTTCACATGTTCAGCACATGTTTACTGAGTTACTCTGGTGGGGAGGGATGGTGGTGGAAAATAAAGATGTATAAGAGTTTATCCACAGCCTGTAAGGAGTTTGCAGTTTTGAAACAGACTGCAGGCATGTACAGATGATGTATGATACAAGGAATATGTGAGGAGTGCTACTTATTAATGATGATATCAAGGAAGACTTCATTGGAAAGTTTACTTTTGGTGTGGACTTTGAATGAGTGGGATTTGAAGGGACTGAGTCAGCAGCGGCTGGGCTTTTCTAGCCAAAGGAACAACCTGGATGAAGGCTATGAAATGGCAGGTGAAGGGCCCTATTCTGGAAACGCCAAGCCCTTCCAGCTGCTAGAACAGGAGATTATACGAAGGAGATGAGGCTAAAAAGGTAGTAAAAGGAGAGTAGAGGGCCTTGAATGCTCAGTGTGGAATCTATTCAGCAGGCCATCCAATGGCCACTGATACTCAGTTTCCTAAATAGGGGGGGAGGGGAAGAAGGTAAACAGCTATTGAATGTGTAGTTCAGAAGTCTCTTGGAGAATACCGTGTCCTGGATGGATTAAATTCTGAACCAGTCAATGGCAAAGTTGGTTCCAGTGAATGAGGGCCCATCCCTAGGACTTCCAGTGTGGAATGAGAGGAAGGAGTGGATATCTTAAAAAAAGTTATTTCCATTATGAAGAAAGAAAAGGGAAATGGATGCTCCATAGATACCCATTTGTAGCAGTGACCACTACAATGGCATAGTGTACCAAAGGTATAGAAATAGAGTATCTTCAATTTTCAAAAGAAAATACATGTCAAGACATTTCTGTTGAAATCTCTGTGGCATAAGCTTCAAAGGGAATTTGAATTGAGAAATTGATTACTACTGTATAATTCTACCAATGGGTTAGACATACAGTCAAATCTCAGTTCTCCACTGTGGTGGTTCTCAAACAATTCAATTCTCGATCAAGTTTTCACAGAAAAAATGTCTTGGTTGTGTAACAAAACTTCGAGTCTCATTTTCTACCTGACAACCCTTTCATGTTGATAAAACCCTTTCATGTATGATCAATCATACATCTCTCAGTAGATAAAGGATATTTGGTTTTTGAACAAATCGCTTCTTGAACAGTTTCCTGGAACAAATTAAGTTCGAGAACTGAGGTTCTCTAAACTAGAGGTTCCCAACCTCTTTGGCACCAGGGACCAGTTTTGTGGAAGACAGTTTTTCCATGGCCCTGGGGGTGGGGGATGATTTCAGGATGATTCAGTCTCCTGTTGGGTGACCCGGGTCCCTAACAGGCCAGGACTGGTACCAGTCTGTGGCCTGGAGGTTGGGGACCTCTGTTCTAAACTGTTTCTTGTACTGCTTGTGATTCCTTGAAATAGTGAATAACTTTCCAGAAAATGAGAAAAGTAGAAAAGAAAGAAAAGACCATATAAAATAAAATAAAAATAAATTATGAGCCTACATGTTAGCATTATGAAAAATTTATTGTAGCCCTGGCCGGGCGGCTCAGGTGGTTGAAGCATCAGCCCATGCACTGCACAGGTGGCAAACACAAGGCCCAGATTCTGCCCTCCGCCTTGTTTTATCCTCCGCCTTGTTTTATCCTCCACCTTGTTTTATCTGGCCTGGCAGCTTGTTTCTACCCAGCGGCAACACGGAGCTCTTGCTTAACTGTTAGGGAGTAGTTACATTTATACAATTCTAAATTTACATTTGTCCCTTTGAAAGCAACCATGAGGCTGATGTGGCCCCTGGTGAAAATGAGTTCGTACCCCTGCCTTACACCAAAATGTGTGTTCGGTCCCCAGTCAGAGCACATAACTAGGTTGTGGGTTGGATCCCCAGTTGGACGATGTGTATGGGAGGCAAGCAATTGATATTTCTCTCTCTGTTTGTTCAGTTTCTTAGTTCTAATTTTAGTTATGTAACTATTTTGGAAGAGCTCATTTTTTAGTAAAAAATTCTGTAGTTTGACCTACATGAAAGGTGATGGCCACTGGGTGAAAATTTTAGATAAATTAAGCTTACACTATATAGTCAACCGAACTATTCAGGAAGCACTTGAAATATTAAATCACCAAGTGCTTCTAAAATGTTATGCTTAGAACTGTTGTCAGACCCAAGGTAATGATGCAATGGATAAGGATTTTTACCCCCCAGTAACAGTATGTGGCACATTTTCAAATGTGTTTTCACACTTTGATAGTGGAAGCATTTATAATGAAAAGTCTCATTTGAATCTTCATACTTAGGCCATGTGATTTAGTGTCAAACAGGGCGTTGTGCTGGCCCATAAGATTCTTTAGTTGCAGTGAGTTCTGCAGAACAAGGTGCTGGAAAGCCTAGCTGAGTCTGGGAGAAAGTTGGGGACCACTGTGGTATTCCCACTTAAATTCTGATCTATAGATTATTTAGAATAGGGATTCTGGACCTATTTGGATATGTACTAATGATGCCAATTTCTGTTTGTTTGGAGGTGGAGGTTAAGATTGCGGGATTTCTGGTGGTCCAGTCACTTCAAGTCCCCTCCTTTGTTTGTCGAGGGCCACTTGGCATTCACACATCTCACCCTCTGCACTCACACATCACTCCCTTGCACTTTGAGGGCAGCTCAGACCATCTGGAGGCTCCGAAATCCTCCCTTGATTGTACTTTGAGAGTAATTGGTTTCAGAGAGGTTGTCAGTTCTTGGGTGGTATTCAAAACACCATCTGATTTGAGCTGGATTTGGTCTTAAAAGTGGAAAGTTAATTAGTTTACTTACGAGTTAAGCCAGTCTTAACTAAACTGTGGAAGGGTTTTTTCTTTTCTGTTAAAGCTTTGGTACTGGTAGTTGATTTCCTCTGTGCCTGGTTTCCTACCATCTAAGAAAGAGACTATAGTTTGCATTTGTGATGGTTTTAAAACGATAGAAATGTGAAGTCAGAGAGAAAATCTGTTTCCTACTTTCTCAAATGATAAACTCAGCCATTGGTCTGATACCAGCTCCTCTCTACCATTATCAGATACTACGCAGTATGTGCAGTATGGTGTGGCTTTGCCTCACCCATGTGTTACAGGAATATCACATTTTAATAAATGCCCCTAACATTTCTGTTTATAGGATTAACAATACAAATTTGCCAGCGTGAACAAAAAGTCTATTGAATAAAAAATCCTTAGAGGAAATAACCTTCCAGGTTTCTCTTCATTTTGCATTTTGATCTTGAGAGAGGTAAAAGAATGACAGGGTTAGATGTACACGTTTATTTAGAAAAGCATGTGGCTGAAGTTGAGGTGCTGGTCCCACCTGGGTTCTCTGGAAGACCCTTCAGAGAATTAGGTTCATATCAGTGGCTGTCAGTGAGAGTGGGTCAGGATTCAGGGCTGAGA